GTAACTGACTAATTTAGTTACTTGGTTACTAGTAACGAGTAACTGCACTAGTTACTTGGTTACTAGTAACGAGTAACTGCACTAGTTACTTGGTTACTGGTAACGAGTAACTAATCTCGTTACTAGTAAAGTAAAGGTAAAGTGCCACTCCTACCACCCAGTGAAGATTTTAAATTTGGCCCAGTGAATAAATACGTTGTTTGTTTGGAGGGCATTCGAGGTTTCTGTGCAATCGGATCAGATGAAATGTCGTTTGTAGTACCTAAAACTGAAGATTGTTTTGTTGACTGTTGTTCAACAGCTTTTTGTGTTGGTTTTTGGAGCCATGAATGTCGTTGTTGTTGTTTGCGCTTTTGTACTTGTGGTTTCAATAATTTATGTTCCATTTCGCGTTGATTTTGCTGATGGTTATGGTTATTTATTGTTAATTGTGTTATTTCATGTAGTTCACTACCAGCTGTTATCATTTGCCTATGCTTTCCACCATGTCATCATCATGTGAATGAGACGGTTTTGATCGAATAAATTGTTGACGTTGTCGTTTTATTTCATGGTAAAACCATACCTCACCATCTTCAGGCCACATAATTTCTTCCCTGTCAAAAACTGGGAGTTGTTCTTCAAATGATGAATTTGTTTTTTCCTTTTTTAATGTTTTTTCCGTGTTAGATTGTATCCGTTTCGTGACACTTTCTATAAATCGCTGTGATTTATTTTGAAGATAACAGCCGAGATCACACATGTGTTGACCATGGAAATAGTGTTTTCTCACTGTTGCTGGCGTTATCACTGATGTTATGGATTGGGAATTTGTTTTTGAGAATCCTTCTTCTTCATCTGCTTCACTAGCAGTATATCGACTATCAAATGGATCAACATATAATTCATCTAAATCGGTATCACAATACGATTCTGATCCATCTTCCGATTATTGATCATCTAAATATTCCGACACTGCTATTAATTTGTTGTTGTTCATAATGAATGATGGATTAATTTTCATTGACTTTATACGTTTCAAACATGCCAGTTTATCATGGTCCATATCATCATCTTCTAAACCTTGAAATGGCATTTGAAATATGGCACTAGAGTCAACATATAACTCAGTTTGCTCATAATTTAATTTCACCAAACAACGTTGTGGTTCGTGACTATATTGTATTTCTAATATTGTTGCTTGTAAAAAGTCGATGCCAGGAACGATTGTACATTTTTGATCATAAACCATCACTATTTGATGAATGTGAAATTGTCCACCCCAAATGTCTGTAAAGGAGTTAAGATTGTGTTGCTATTTAGTGCTGTATCGGTTCCAAAGCCAGAGGGGCTGCCACTGATCATCTGTATAACGTGCTTGTGTGTTGAACTGTTGTTTGAAGTTTTGTTGACAATAACGTTGTCTCATTTTGATTTGGTTGGGTTCGATTATACCTACTGCGATGTTGATTGCTTGTACTTACTGTGATGTTGGATTGACAGTAAGCCGGCTAGTGCACCAATGTTAGGTTCCCAAGCGAACTAAGATCTTTCCCACCTAACGTTTATTTACAAATAAAAAAGATATCCTCTTAAGAATAAAATTAATCTATTTATATAAGAAATATTGCGCGATAACCTTGAGTAGACTCGGCGTAATAACCTTGACTGGGGTCTGCGCAATAACCTTGAATATATTCTTGCACCATAGCAGTGAGTATGCTTGCGCAATAACCTTGACTATGATCTTCTTTCTTATGGCACGACTCTAGCACGTGACATAACATCAGGTCTTTTCCGTTACCGAGATAAGAGACATTATTTCCTAAAAACTGACTCTTATTTATTGCTCCGCAGGCAAGATTTTTTGGTGAAATTGATTACTTAGGCGGCTGTAACTTTGTACTTAAATTCTCTCGCAGTTGTAATTGTATAAAAACGTCTTCCATGGGTGGGGAGAGCGCGCAAATTTTCCAAATTTTGGACTTTTTCCATTTTTAACCATGCCGGACTTCTGCTCTTTTCACGATTTCTACCAATGAAAAGTAAGCTCTCACCTGGCAACATGTCTCTATACTGTACTCGAGCTACTTATGGTTATCTTATTCATAAAGGCGTGATTATATGTAGCCGGCAGAAAAGGTAGTTATTTTACGGATAATGCCTCCTATCTCGTTAACGGGAAAGACCTGAGCAGAGATATTTTCGGATTAGTCATGTCCTTATGCTTATAAGTAACTTGCAAAAAAGATTTTTCTTCAACTCGTCTGCAAAAGAACTCCAGTCAAATCTATTTCGACTCCATACATATATAAATCGCTTTCTAACGATAAAAGATTCTCATGAGAATGACTGGAGTTCTTTTGCAGACGAGTTGAAGAAAAATCTTTTTTGCAAGTTACTTATTAGCATAAGGACATGACTAATTCGAAAATATCTCTGTTCAGGTCTTTTCCGTTACCGAGATAAGAGACATTATAACTTGAAGGTCTTGTGGAGAAACAGTGAGTTCTTCAGCAAAATCTATAGAGTTGACGTGGAGAAATCGCATATTTCTCGAAGACGTAACTTGAAGTTCCTGTTGAGAAACGTCTGTTCAATGAGGAAAACGCTTAGAGTACTTGTGGAGAAAAGACCGAATTGTCGAAAATATAAATTCAAGTTCTTGTAGAGAAACAGCGTTCTGGAAAAGCCTTACACCGAATTCTGGAAGATGTAACTTGTTCCTATTAGTTCTTGTGGAGAAACGCCTATTCCGTCAAGAAAAAGCTCAGAGGTAACCCTGATGAATTCTAAGCCCCTTCGTCATTGAATAGACGTTTCTAAACAGGAACTTCAAGTTACGTCTTCGAGAAATATGCGATTTCTCCACGTGAACTCTATGGATTTTGCCAAAGAACTCGCCGTTTCTCCACAAGAACGCCAAGTTAAATCTTCCAGAGTTCGGTGTTCTCGACACATCAACTACAAGGATTCTGCTGAAGAAATACTCTTTCTTCTCAATAACTCAAGTTATATCTTCGAGAATTCAATGTTCTCGCCACGTGAACTCTAAGGCTTACCTGGATTGAATAGACGTTTCTCAGGAACGTCAAGTTACGCCTTTTAGAATTCGGTGATTTATCCACATGAACTCTAAGGGTTTTGCTCAGCAACCCACTCTTTCTCTACAAGAACCTCAAGTT